AGTCACAAAAGAATACGTAAAGATAGATAATGCCGAGTTATCCAAAATTCTTATCAGTCAAAAAATTTACATACACGCGCGCACGTTATCTCACATGTAGGCACTCGCTTATCACTTTTCTCATAGATTTATCTCGTAGATTCCCTCTTTATCTCTTTTCTTGTAAAGCTAGCATCTGGTGACTCGCATAAGATAATCGGACGTGGAGGACAAACGGTTCGATGTTATCTAATTCATTTTTCCCGCTTCGATGATAATAAAAAAGTGACAATGCCGTTCGGGGACGAGTCTGCCATACAACAGGGAAAGCGGCTCAGAACAGATGCACGAACCTGTCAGGATGAATCGTCGTGTCAACTACTCTACCGGCCAGGGTCACCACTGGATCAGCTGACTTGGCGTACGTCGCCTGGCCTACCCTCGAGTATATCAACGGCCCGCCTGTTTTTGGGGTCAGCTCATCGCCACGCGAATCTTTATCATGGCTATTGTAGATAATGGGAACGTCATAAACCTTCCGCGGCGCCGTGCCGCACTCCGCCACACCGCGCCGTAATCTTTATCTACTCCTTTTCTTTTTATCGCTTCGAATTTAACGATGCGTAAACAAGAGCCGGGAGTCACTTGTTACACCTTTTGCACTTGATTGTTCTCCTTCCTCCCGCTGAAGCGTCCGTGTCCGTCCTGTTGTGTCTGCCTCACTCCGCGTGTACCGAGTGCAAGAGAGTGCGATAAAAAAAATGACAGTCATGTAGGTTAGTCTGCCAGTTTGGCGGGAAACGACGTGCTGAATTTCTTATAATTATCGAGTTTCTTAAGTTTCTCAAAATGCCCGATGTCATAATTAACGATATCATCGTTAGCTTTCCCTTCAAACCATATCCCGTGCAAGAGGAATATATGAGAAAAGTGATAGAGTGCCTGCAGAACAGTCAGCACGGTGTCTTAGAATCTCCAACAGGTATAACACGTGTATAACTGACTATTTTGGATTGGGGAATTCAAGATTTTTGGGAAATAAATAATGACATTTCAAATGACATTAATGACATTTCAAAAAATAAACAATTATATACTCAGACAGGAATCTTTAAGACGTCTTATGTCTTAATCATACTGATTAATCTTTATTAATCTTAGATAGAATAAAAAAAAATATATATATATATAGTATAAAAATGGAATTTAAACAATTTGTTTCTATTTTAGAAAATTGACGTGCAAAATTGTGAACTTTTATCACATTTTATTTTTTCATTTCTTTTCTTCTCAATGAATTAGTCAAATGTTACTAAAATTATTAATTAAATTCTAAAAGATGGAATAAATCAAATATGTATTTTA